ACAGATAACGCTAATTATTATCGACTACATAATTAATAAAAATAAAAATAAAGCAAATTCATAGAATAAAAAGAAAATTTGGTTCAAAATTTACCGTTTATAATAAATTTTTCAAAATGATGGTATAAAGATAAACGTCGATAATATTTTTTTAGTTAAATTTTGTTTTGGCTCAAGGCTAACTTCATAATCAAGATAAAACCATTGCCATCGTTTGCATCAACTGGTTAACATCGCCATTTTAGCGAAAAATGAATTAGGACAAAAAGGCGGGAACCTTCACAGTGGTCACACAGAAGTGACACGAATCAATATTATTGTACAAGCGGTAAGTATTGCAGTACACTATGAAAGGAAGGGAGAAAACAGTAGTTTTAAAAGAATATACACTATCAAAAAAGTGAGGAGACTTATGTTTCAAGAGAAAAAAATGTTTTTTGTTAATACCTGAAGAAGCACTGGAGCTTATTTTAGAAAGCATCGATTTTGAGTATAAGAATAATTTACTTTAGACAATAATTTAAGAATGCATAATATTTGAAGCGCAACACAATGTAGTATTTATCCAGAGTAAGCGACGATTTGGGATTGTACATCTACCTGCAGATAATCTACATATAGAACGTTATTACAAACGACAAAATTGGAACTTCCTTTGAAATATATTTTAGGACTTCGAAACGAATAGTGTTTTTACAAGACGCCATTCAGCTTATGAACTGTATGCTAAATGTTAGCAGTTTTAATGCGGAAATTATTCGTTGTTGTAGTTTGGGGCATTTTGGGATTATCAATGTATATGCAAAAATTCGATAATTCTGACAATAATTCCAATTGCTTCGTTTGCAGCCACTTGGATATCACTCCGTTTGCAGACAAAAGATGATGTGAAAATACAAAATTACCATTAGGTTATTTCGGAGAAGAGATATTTAAAGTAAAAAATAAAACATTCAAATAACATTTCTAATGAAGTTTCTCGAGTACGCAATACTTTTCTATGAAAATGAGATCAAAATTCCGCATTTCAGAAATATCTGCAAGACATTTTCTCAAAGCGGCTCCAATTTTACTTTCTCGCTATGAAGTAGAAAGAAGGTAATGCAATGCTGCGCGAAAAAACTGCGATTTTTCGACTGAAAAATTCTTATTACAAGACCCTGGTAACGAAAAAATGGATAAATTCAGTGAATAAGTTTAGAAAAAAATCATGTAACACGTGATGTAGCCAGAATCCATGTTTTGTGGGTCCCTTTTAGTGAAAAATTGAATGACGGAAAAACGTCTGTCAGTCCGTCTGTCTGCCCGTCCGTCTGTGACCAACGCTAGCGGCTAAACCGTTCAGCCGATTTTCTCCAAAATTGATATTCCCCAATTGATCTGCCTGATGTTGCGGCCCCTTGTAATTGAACCCGATATTTTAATTTCGAGGAGTACTTAACATGAAGTCCCTGGGACATTTTCAAAAATTTCAAGAAATGGCTTCGTTGGTTTTGATTAGATTTTTTGTTGGATAGTGTGAAGAACGTTTAAGAGGATGGTCCAGGCCTCATGTTCGTTGAAAACCTTCATTTTTTGAAAATTGCAAAAATTCATTTTTTTCGGAGTCTTCCTACAACTACTTTATTCGTTTGATTTTTTTAAATACGTGTAGCAATAGTAATATGTGTTTAAACGTGTAAAAACATATTACGGCAATTTTTGGTCCCAAATGCCAACATCCCAATATTCTGTGGAACTAAGACCGGAAGAAGTAGGAGTGTGTAGTAGTTATAAGGAGAACGGGAAGGTTAAAAATTACAAAAATGTAATTTTTTGAAATAATCTCTGGTCTTTAATATTTACATTAGAGTAATTTTCTTTGCATTATTGCATTTATGAGTAGAAGTGCTTTAAATGATTTCTTTTGACCTTTCTCGAATACTGTAACCTTTTCAGTGAAAATGAGCTGAAAGTTGCTTATTTTTAGAAACGTTCGAACGACTAGTCTCCTGAAGTTTTACTTAAGGTGCATTGACTTAAGATTTGATAAGACATTCGCTCATCGAATGTAGACGTCAAATGCAATTTAGGGCATCTAGATACATTTTTAATTAACTAATATTACATAGTACTAGTAATACATGCTATAGATACTAATAATTCATAACTAATAGTACATTATTAACTATAATAACTATTTTAACTATATCTCTATCATGTTCATTCTTTCGTATTTTGTTTTAAAAATATTTTGTTTAAATGTTTTGTTTTAAAAATATCTGACACGTTAATAATCCTAGATTTAAGAGTTACTCGTTTACTCTAAAGATGAAGTATAATTTGCGACACGACTCCCTAATTGATAATAACAGTCTTACAAGTGTATACCTCTCCACAGACATCTTTATTTTGGCGACAAGAGAATCTTTATCTGACGCTAAAGGGATTTATCTGAGTTTAGTTTGAGAAAAACTATATTTGGGCAACATAATGTAGTGGACTCGTGTTTCCGCATGTGTGACTCAATGACTTTGCAGTTTTTCGGGAGGAGAGTTTAATACACGATAGTTTGAATAGACAGAGAACACTTCAGGTACGCAACCAACTCCAGAATATGTTTTGTAAAAATTGTATTTCCAGAATCTGTGCTCACATGCAACCACAAGATAGGGTGTCTTTATAGCCCTGAAGTTGGCCAAATAAATGATCGAAACTTCAGCTTTGTAGTAGAAGAGATTCAAGATTTTATTGACCTGCACTTGTGAATTTCCTTACTGATACATGTAATTATTGTTTCTAAGTGCATGCTCCCTTCTTGATAGTCAGTAAATTTTCAGGTGTGTCAGTCAGTAAATTTTCAATTCAAAATATTGCTAAACTATCCTACGGAAGGGCACCACACAGATGATAAGTTAGGTTTTGTATAACGATAGAGCAAAACGTGCTGAACTAAATAGCCATTGATTAGCTCCTGCATATTTCATTTGTAAATCAAGCCTTATATTTGTCATTCCAATAGCATCAATACATCTCTTGAGCTAAGAGTAATGAGATCACGATGTTATACAATTGAACCCAATAAATAAACGCTCTATCAAGATCGGTCTATATTTCTTTCAGCGTACATTCAAAGTATCTTCTCAAGTATTTATATGTTTTTATCATTAAACCAAAAATATTAAATTGTTTAAAATGAAATATGTATATTGCGAAATTTAAACGAGAAACTTAAAATTTCCTCTTTAAAAATGATGGTCCTCAAGCAAAAATGCTTGTGATCTAACATTTAATCCTCGTAACTAGTGCTCACCGTCCTAATTAGTCTAAGACTCGACCCGAAACTTAGTGGACACAAATGAGAGAAACCGCAGAGGAAACATCAAAGCCGGTTAATTGAAGCTCGAGATAGCATCTCGACGTAGGTACTAACGATGATTCGCTCCATAGGTAAATTCGCTCCACCGGTGGGTCGAACCCGCATGTTTCGTTCTTGCCACTTGAACGGCGACGGTGCATCTAACGCTTTCTTGCCTTAAAAGTCCCGGCACAAAACGCAAAATTTATGGAAGTGAACACGAGGTTCCGCTCATTTTTATTCTTTATCCATTAACTAACACCCGTTTATACGGCTTATGACTATCCACTCCCAATGGATTGGTTCCGGCTCAGGGTATCAACTGTTGATACTTCAGGGCCTCTGTGTGTTATTCTTGGATTTAAACATAAATGCCCTTGACATAAATCAGCCGAAGGTGGTTGAACGTCACCATAGTGACGTGTAAGCTCCCAATTGTATGACAACCTGCCAGATGCAGCTCTAAATAAATCGAAGTATAGGGTTCAAATAGCGACGGTAGCAGGATTTTCAACACTGGCTACATATAGTCTGGGAGAGTTCAGACGCTGTCTGGAGAATGCTAGCGGCCGGCTGCTCTGATCGGGAGGTTTCCGTGGTTTCTCCTATCAACACCAGGCGAACACCAGAGCAGTACCCTAGGAAACTGGTCTCGGACCTCACGCGATCTTTCCTTTCGCTTTCTTGTCTCATCCTCACTCTCATGCACTACACTACCACACATGTCGGGAGGTCAGACCTTGTCCCGGCAGGGGCGATGCCACGCTGGTGGGAGACATCTGGAAGGGGAAAACTCTGTAAGTCGTCGTGAAGGCGGGCGCCGATGAACCATCATCCCATCCATAATCGTTCGTCTCCCTGATGAGAGATAACATTTACGCCTCAAATCACCTAATATCTCAGTGGAAAAATCTGTCATTGTGGAAGACATAGACAAAGGCACAATGGTCGCCAGGCCAGAAAAAGGGACGAAAGACATCGGCCTCCTCCCTCACCTGCCCCTGAGTTTGGTAATGGTGAGTTAAAACAAGGAATGGCTTCTCGCTGGAAGAAGGATGGAGTGATGGTGTTAATACGTCCAGTTTAGACGCAGAGTATCATAGGAGTGACTCGGTAGGGGGACTCCTCTTATATTTAGAACTTTTTAATTCTTAGAATCACACCTGTTTATATACATAATAATATAAAATGTTAAATACTATTTCGTATATTTCCATAACCTGAATAAATACTATAAATAATTGTATTGTATAAATTATTATTATTATTATTATTATTATTATTATTATTATTATTATTATTATTATTATTAAGACTAGTAATGCGGAAGAAGACACCTTTTCATTCCACGGAAATATCTTGAATTACTTTTCGGAAGCAGCACATCTGACCCTGCACCGTGGGAGCGAAGTAGAGCCACTGGGATGGCAACTTACCGCAGAGAACGTAACGACCCGTGGGCGGAAACAGTTTGGTTCCTGTGAATATCTTTTACATAGGAAGTGCTTTCGTGAACTTCTGGAGGGTAACTTCCTTTCCCCATCTGAAGTGCTGAAATGTCTGTGACTGTTTCTCCAGTGAGAATTTTATACGGATTATACACCTTTTAAATAGTTATTTCATTTTAAATCGGATTGAATGAATGTTTGTTGCCTCCCCTCAGAGATGGATTCAGCGGCGGGCTTGTGTGCTCCGTTCCGTCTGTACACGTGCAGCCATCCCCCCCTCCTCCCCGGTGACTCAACTGCTGCGCATTGCCGCTGCGTCCGGATGATCGTTCCCCGCCGGCCGGAAATAAACGGGTCGGTGGGACTTTCGTCCGTTTGCAACGTCTTTCCTTCGTCTCAGCAGCTGCCACCTGCCCCTCTGCGCTGCGCGCCCAGCATCGATTGTGGCGCCACTTCGGCGGGAAGAAAAGAAGGAGCGAAGAACCCACAGGATATAACTGACAAGCAACCTTTTGTTTTGGTTTGCTCCCCTCCCCCTCCCCCAATTATAACCGTTTTAAAGCCAATATCGGGACAAATTTGGTTTTGAAAGAGAGAAAGAAATTAGTATTCAATGAGAATTTTTTAATGTGGTTAAATTGGCAACACTGTGTTAAACAAAGGTCATACCAAAGGGCCTAGTAGTGTTTAGTTTGTAGAGTATTTTACTGTTTTGTAACATACCTACATGTGATAATCAAAAAGTTACAGAGTGTTACAATGTGTAAAATTGTGTTTGTATTACCAATTTATCAAAATAAACGATATTGCTTCTGTAACTATGTAAATAATACTTTGTGTATAAACGTTTTCTTTCCGAACTAATTTACCTACTAAAGCACAAACTATCTCGAATTATTGGGAATTCCCCCGTCATGAGCGTGACCATGCCGGGGGGAATTTATTGCCGTCCCTAAATCTTCTAAATTCTATTCTCTCTTATAAAAAACACGTATACCATAAAGTAGACTTAACCCGTTTTTAAAATTTACTCTTATAATATTCATTCCAAGGCAACATTTCTCTTATTTCTCTTGCTCTACCTGTTGTAGTTTATAGTGGTCATTCACATCCTAGCGTAAGGTAAAAACCTGATTAAGATCAACAATGACAGGAGAAAGACTCATATGTTTGTTGAGTATACACATACTTCTTGTTTCAGAAAAGGAGGAAGAAAATAATAATAAAATCTTTAAGATATTACATTCTGAAAATTCACGGAACGTTCAATTCGAAAGGGAGCCATATCACATACTTCCTCGCATTGTTTGTAACGGTTACACAATATAAAGACGAATTATTATAAAGACGAATAATTTGAATGATCTCAAGAATGTAGCCCGGTGGTGCTCTGGTAATCACATGATTTTGAACAGTTGATGAATCAAAAATTTTGTTTTCAAAAATCCAAAAACATTTTTATTTCAATATTTGCGCAATAACTTAGAGCACGTTCAACTATTTTTTATTGAGATTTATTTTGATTCATTATTTTGATAAATTTAAATTTGATTCGCAAGTTGACTACATACTGAAACGCAGTCTTAAATTGCTCGGATTTTTCAATAAGCATAGTAAAGATTTGTTGTACAGTGCTGTCACTGTATAACACGAACAAAACCTGAATTGATGTATACTTCAAACACACGTACACGTTTTTAATTTCTCCAATGATGAACATTTTAAAATCCCCAATGATGCTTTTCGTGATAACTTCAATTATAAGCCAATTATGATAACGTGGTCTGTATTTAAATTCATACAGGACATCATATGGGTCCTATTCATAACTTCCTTGGCTTTCTAGTTATTTGTGCCATCTTCTGGATACGATACCTTAAAACGAGAGATATGATATTTAATAAATTATATAGACACACAGTATTATCAATTGTTAAGCCTCCCAAATTGTCATCAGCATTGTTTACAGCAGAGCAGTAAGATGAAATTTGTCACATCACCTGTAGTGTCCTATAGCGATAAGGGTTCCTGGAATATTACATTTATGTTGCCAGCACACGCAAGCGTTAGAAGATGTTTACAAACACTAGATATATCAAGAACAATATTGTACATTCACACATTCTTATTGAACCTCTGCGTGGACTCAGTCAGATATTATCTGCACACGTTTTTCCAAAGCCCGAGAGTAAAAAATGAAAGACCTTAGACGGTATTTGTATCAAGAAGAAATTATAATTGTTTATTAGATGTTAGGCGCCAAAATTTAAAGAAAATTCGAATGCAAAGTGTTAAGAGCTACGGAGTTATGTACTTTTACTTTCTCGCACTTACTTACGTAAGAAGAGAAAGTAATGTGATCGTGCGCCGAAAACCGGCGAATTTTCGACACAAACTTTTATTGCTGGGCACTGGTCAGAAAAAACTGGATACATCCAGTTGCTAAATGTAAAAAAAAACCTCTAACACGTGGTGTAGGCAGAATCCATGTTTTGTGGGTCCTTCATACCGAAAAATCTATTGACGGCAAAACGTCTGTCCGTCAGTCTGTCTGTGCCCAACGCTAGCGCATAAACCGTTCAGCCGATTTTCTCCAAAATTTATATTCCCCAATCGTTCTAGCTGATGTCTCGGATCCTGGAATTTGAAACCGAATTTTTTTTATTTTGGGGGTACTTTACATGAAGTACCTGGGACATTTTCAAAATTCTCAAAAAACATTTGCTGTTGAGTAGTGCAAAGGACGTTTAAGAGAATGGTGCAGGACTCATTTTCAAGTCCTAATCCTACTGACATTGTTGTTTCTGTGAAAAGTTTATGACATAACCTATATTAATCATGCACTTGGAATGGTATTATCCGCGCACTTTTTCTTGAGCCCTTACTTCGCTAGTTGCGTGAGGAGTGGGGAGTCTGGTTATTTTGACAAAACGAGTTTTATGTCAAATTTGTAGATTGCTTTTCGATAAAAATAGTTTCTATTAAATGGGAGCATTCTGGTGATCAGATTTTGTCTACAACTTTCGTTGCTATCATTTATTCTCAACTTAACTAATATTGACAAAGGACTGGGGGTAGGTATTTCGAAGCTCAAGAAAACGTGCGCATATAATACCATCATATGCATGTAATAAACACTAAACGTTCATATTATTCTTATTCAAAATCTATTTGTATACTTTTATTGCTCATCCCTCAAATTTCACACTCTGCTCTCACTCAACTCAAACTCTAAATCAATGTACATTCATGTACAAGACAGTTCAAGAGGGTAAATTAATACTTTTGAAAACAAGAATTCACTAGTGGTGTTACAGAATGGCAAGACTTCTCGTATTAGTTTTATATTTCCTTTGGTCTCGGCTAGCTATACGAACTTGCCACATACTCTTGCCAGCTGTCATCTATCGCCGCCCAAAGCACATTTTTAAAAAAATGTTCGGTTTCGTAATAGCAGAACGCAAACATTATTTTATGAATATTAAAAAAACAGATAAACTTCTTCCTAAATGGCAATTTTCATGTAAAAATTGGAGTCATTTGATGTACCTTAACTCAAAATACGGTAGTGTTTACAAATTGCTAGAAATGTGAATCTCATCGGCGCGAGAGATCTAAAAAAATTACATTTTTGTAATTATTGAAAAAACAAAAGTACCTCGAAATTAACTTTACCTCGTATTAAAGAGTGCAACTATCTTATTGAAAAGTGTGAAGAAAAAATTTGGAACCTTTTCTAATATTTTTTTGACTGTCAAGGAAAGTGAAAAGCTGTCAAGCTAGGTTGTCTAATAGCTTCAAACATTTTTGAGGAATTGCTGTGAATTATTCCAAGAAAATATGTCAATAACTGAATAAACCTTCATTCAAAATTTGTTTCAAAAATCAATTTTATTGTTTTTTTTTATTTGATAATCTATAAGTGCATTTATACTTTATTACCTTTATACTTTTTTAAAACAAATAAATACGTTTGTCTAACAACCTTACCATTTAATATGGAAATGGAAGGATCGAGAAGAGGGTGGAGTTTAACATGCCAGAGTTCTCGCACAGGTACGCTAGTAAGAAATAAATCTCTCTTCAATAATGTAGTTGATGTTGGGGCTCGGAATTACTACTTAACTTTGGCAAATTTTAAAAATTCAGATGTTTGAATGATAATTAGATTTTAGTCATTGTCTTAGCCTCCTTTGTTTTAGATGAGGATAAAAATTACATTAAAAACGTGGAGCCATTTTTTAAATAATTTCGAAAATGTCATTGGGGTTATAGCAAAAAAAACTACAAATTTTGAAAAAAATCCGGTGAACGGTTTAGGGGCTAATGTCCACATATGGATGGGTAGACGGATGTTATGAAAAAAAAACATATTTTCGATATCACGTTGGAAAAGCACAAAATGTGGATTATGACTACACTGCATATTCTGTAACGTAGGAGGAAGGAAGAAGGGAAGAGCAGGAACTTGGAAAACAGAGTTATTTCTACCAACAAAATCGTATTTTTCCCTCTTCAACATTGTAATACTTTCTCTATTTTACGTATACCAGAAGAGAAAAACAAATCTTTATATGTTAAAGGTCTCCGTAACAAACAATTCCGTAAAAAACTCTACAGCTTTTTTTTGCAATATTACATAAATTTCTACGTCCAGCTAGGAATACTAACAAAAGTTTAAAATGTTCAATAACCTGTTATTTTGGTCAGTTAAAATTGTTAGCTTACATATAAGGTGGAGAATCGGAATAACCTAAAACACGTTATTGTTGTGAAAAGCCCATTCTAGTGAGGCCTTGGCGTCTGGACGATCGGCCTTCGCTATGGCGTTTCATCTTCCCGGATATGGAGACACGCGAGAGGCGCTCATTTTAGTCATCGTTTTAAGTCCATTGCCCCGTTTCATATGAGTCATGAGCTGGAGTGTTCGGCATCAGCACATCTGGTTACACGGAACAGAGGTCATCAGGTCCCTCAGCTGATTCGTAAGTCGCATGATAGTTTAGCATCACCACTAGAAATATTTAGTCGTTGCTTGTCGGCTTCCCTCAGCGAATGCAATACTTGCTTGATATTACTAAGAAATTACGAATCAGTCACTAAAAATGTTGTCGTGCAATCTTGTGTATATTTATCATGAAATTTAAAGAAAAGATTTAACTGATTTATTGCAAACTAATCTCTCCAAGAAGTGACAATAATACAAAGAAGAGCGAAAAATGTCAGTAAAAACGAGGAGTAACTGCTCTCTGTTTTGTGTTTTTCTCACAGTCGTTCGAAAAATAACAGTTCGAAATTATTAATTTTGAAACGTGTATGAATTAGATACCTTTCATAAAAAAATCAACTTCAACTTCCACTTGATCCCATAATTGAAATCCATTAGTAGTAACGGACCCAAAACCAAAGTTGCTAGTAATTTAACTTAATGTATTCCAAACAATTACCATATAATGATTACATTACACCCACGAGAGTGTAATGAATATGATTCTTTTTTTTATTTCTTGCTAAAAATTAGAAACATTTTTTCAAAAGTTTTTGGGAGATGGTGTACAAACTGATATTTCTGCCACCCCCCCACACACATACACCTAGAATTTTTTCCAGAATTTTTCTTCAGACAGCGGCTGATTGTAAGTGGGCTTAGCTCTTTAGCTAGTGACCGCCACCGTCGGGACTCGAATCCTAGGCCCTCTGGTCAGAGACGTTGAATATGCAGCGGCAATGCTGACTGAGATAAACTTAGCAGGTAAGTAGAACATTAATAATTATTGAAAATACATAATAAAATTGTATAAA